AAGTGCTTTCCAACTGGTTTTCCTTGAGGAACTCTGCAGGTCAGCGTCCCTGCTGGCTGAAGAGCTGCCTGATGGGCAGATGGATGGTGTACATGCAGTCCCTACCAGAGCTGAATGTATTCCTAATGTTAATGGAACCCTGCAAACCCACAAAGCGCTGTTTCATCAGGGTGTCACAGAACTTCTACCTGTATCCTAGCTCAGAGAACTGCTGTTGGATCTAAGGACAGGAAGAAACACTGTTGGATGGTTAAAGGAATCAGGAGATCTGGATTCTCCTCCCAGCTCTGCTTCTGAGTCATTATTAACATAAAATCAGGTTTGTTACATCAGTGAAGCTTGAGTAAATAAACCACAACTCATCACTGTATTTTATTTTGCAATATTTCAGTGGGTTCCTCTCTACAAATAAACACTATTAAAGATCAGTGCAATTGCAGGTATGTGGGGAAGGAGAGAAATGAAAGCATCTGAACAAGGTCAAAAAAACCTTATGAAGAGCAGGGCAAAATCTCAGCTTTTTGGAGGATAGTGATTTTTACAGGACAGGCATGTAAGAAAAAAGGCAACCCTTACTTGGAGACACTAAAAGACAAATGAGTCATGCCTGCAGGTCTGAAAGAGCTGATGGGAAAAAAATATTGGGAAACATCCTAATCCCCTTCTGAGGAGCCAAGGCTGAACTCCCAATGCCACTGAAGTTTATGGTAAAACTGGTGCTTGCTTCCCCAGCACTAGGATTTAACCTCTATAAATTTCAGCTGTGAAGACAGAAGCCTTAGGAAGGAGATAGCCAATTTCATAAGCAGCAGTTCCAGGAGACCGAGGACATCACGAATTCAAAAGAATGACTGAAAGTGACAGGGAAAGCAAGGTCTGAACCCATGAAGGCTTGGCCCACTCCTGTCTCCTCCAGTACTGAACATCCCTTTATCCATCTGAATTTTTGGGCCAGGCTGGTCTCCAGTGTGACAGTCACCCAGGCAACTGCCAGCCCCCACTGAAGCCCTGGGCTTCTTTAGGGCTGAGATGCTCCACATATGCACACATATGTGCTTGCACATATGTGCTTCCTAACTGCGCCAGAGGTTCTGTAGTCAGGCCTCGTTCAGCACTGGGAGGGATCCTGTTCAGCCGACTTCCTCGATGCCAGAACACCTCTTCAGCTTTTGCCCCTCAAACAACTATTTTCCCTCATGAGTAGGTGCAAAAGCACCAGCTGCTGGGCACTGGAGGGCTTCTGGAAGGGCTTTGGGCTGCCCTTACCTTTACTTTGAAACTTACTCATTCCATTTCTCTCAATAGCTTTATGTTTCCTCTTTGAACTCTGGCATCAAAGCCCTTTCCTGAACATCTGAGACCATAGACCCCACTGGTGGACCTCACCCTCCATCAAAAGGTGATATGAGCATCCGCTGCTATCCAAGCAAGCAGGAGGTGCTAAGGACCTTAGTGGATCAGTCTTCAGTCCCATTCCCAGACCAGATACGGTAAGGACAGCTACAAGGCCTGCCAAGCACATGATCCTCTTTCCCCTCCTTTGACTTCCCCCCATTCAGCTTTCCACAGCCGCCAAAAAAACATCTGATCGAAGGCCCGGGGGAGGGAGTCAGAACTGTCCAGTCTGGTTATGAGTGAAGGTCATTGATCTAGCGCAGACCAGGGATGCAGAAAACAGAGGAGGGAGGGAAAAACCCTCAGCGAGACAGAAGAGAGGGAGTGAGGCGGGCAGAGGCAGCGCGGGAGTAAGTGCAGGGGAAGGCAGTGGAAGTGGCTGAAACATGGTTTCACACTCCAAGACCCAAGGGCTGTTGTCAACCCGTCCTTCATGCTCACATCTTGTCACACTAGAGGTCAGGTCTCCCAAGCGTTCCTGGAGAGCTGAGCTAGCCCATATGGCAGGCAATATGTTAACAATATGGATCAGCTGCTCGTCAGGGCCTGAGCAGATGGATGTGACAACCCTGTTCTTACCCAGACAGGCTTTTAACATCTTCCCTCCCCTCTACTCAGCCCTGCTGAAGAGCTCCGCCTGGGAACGGCTGCCTCCAGCCTACCTGAACCATGGGGCCACAGGTCAGGACAAGCAGCATGGAAATGTCTGCCTGGCTGTACCTAGATGGAAGCGAGCAGGATAGAGCCCCACTCAGACCAGCACTGGCAGGAACCAGGCCAAGCCTTTATCCAAGGATTGTGTGCTGCAAACGGAAAGGCCTCGCTGTAATCCAGATATGTGCTATTAACTCCTGAGCAGGGTGATACAAGAGAGACTGTATTCAGATATATGTATATGCCATGTTACCACCAGATGCCACACTTTACAGTCTAGACTGAGTTTTGTAACTGCCTGGGAAAAATTTCTCTCACAGAACATGTAATACATAAATAGATGTGTATTTTAATGGGCAAGTTAAACTCCTCCTGGCAAAGGTAGGCAAGTCGATTTCACACACAGGTGGGTAAATTTCCACAATGATTTTGCAAGGCTGTGTCATATTCCCCAGCCCAGCTCAGGATCTGAGCCGTCAGGGCTGGCTGGGCTGGCCCAGCTGCACTTCTGTGGAAGGCAATGTTCCCATCTCATTCCCTTTGCAGCCATGCCCATGCAGTAATCCCAAGGATCCTAGCAAAAATAACGCCACCAGTCCAAGCTAACCCCCAAACTTAGCTTTACTTTAGGATTTAAACAGGGGGGAATATTCTGCAAATTCAAACATAGACAGAGCAGATATTTCTAATCCCTTTCCTACACTTTTTTCAGCGTTTTTTCCCCCTACATAAAAGTCTACCTTCATTAACTGAACAAGAAAACTCCCTCCAACCCTTATAGCTCTAGGACTAAACAGCCAGCTTGTTCTTATAAACAGTGAAAAAGCAATCACAGCCTAGGGATGGGCTATGGAGAATGTGCAAACAGCCTCTGTAGCCCAACGTAAATTGAGCTTGTTTTGAAAGTAGAAGCCATACAACTCGCTCTAGGGCTGAAGACTGGAACACAGGGATTTCTAGTCCAGAGCACGAGAGATCACAAAGCCACATGCCTGAAAGGCTAAATGCACCTCCTTCACTGCAGTGATGTTTGTGGAACTAGGGAGACCTCAAAAAACAGCTGCAGTCCAGGAAAGTATTTCTATTGTCTCTAATGAGCTACTGTCCCTCAGAATGCAGCCCCTGAATGACACTCAGCAATGCACCCGTACCAGTAGGTACTGATAGGAGACAAACATGGAAAAGGATAACTGATTTGCAAGAACCTGAACCTCAAGGATCAGCACTTAAAGAATTCCTGACATATCAGTCTCCTCCTCTTACCTTCTTGTCTCAGAGGTTCTGCTCATCCCAGGTCCAGGTCAGATGGCCAACTCGGGGTTTTTAATATCAGGAGCTACACAAGCAGAAGCCTGTGACAGGGGTCACAGGAAAAACTCCTTGTGATGGAAAAATCACCAAGAACCTATGAGGCAGCTTCCTCAGCAGACTTTTTCCCCCTGAATGTTGGACCTCTCTAAAGAGGCACATAAGGGTGTTTGGTGGAGAATTCACCTGCTGCAGTCAAACCTGAGAATTTGTCTCTTATTTATTATTCTCTTATGAAACCCTCAAGGCTCTTCATGTTTCTTTACCTTATTCCCTCAGGCAGAGCTCCTATTGGGAAGCTGTCTTGCCTCTGGAAGCCTCGGAAGGTATTGCTCTAAAAGGGGACACAAGCACCACAGCAGCTCATACAGGGATAAAGGCCTGAGTTTGCTACATTAATAGTTCAAAACCAGGCTTTCCAAATAAAGCATGCCAGATGCTGGAGGTATTTCAGCACTAGGAAGGTGTGGGAAGGCACAGCTCACCCCCATCCCATCCTGAAATACACTCTTTACTGGCAGACTTAGTGAAAGCACTCAGGTCTGTAGGCTCTGAGCACATGGCAAGAACTAAGACCTACTGAGCCTTAGAGTATCACGGCTGTTGCTCTTTCAGGTAGGGCTAGGGCACTCAAAACATGAGTAAATTCCTCTGTGCAACACAGAGAGTCAGCAGGGACAGCTGGAGCTCCAGACCAATATCTGAGCTCTGTGACTTTTCTCATCTCCCCTCTTGCTGAGCCAATACAGTCCCTCCACCTAGAACCTTCCAGTTCAGGCCTCAGCTGCACCTGTGACTCACAACAGCTTTGGACACACTGCTTTGTCCCAGGTATCATTTATGGCACAGCAGCAAAAAATAGAGGAACATGATGATACAGAATCCCCTCAGGAACTTCAGTTGCTGATCTTCATTCAGGCATCATGAACATTTGATGATGTCAGCACAGCACGGAGAGGGCCCCTGACAATACCCCTCTGCCCTACAGAGCACATGTGATGTCATGCAAGGGAAGACACCGTGAGGATCCTCAGCCCCTTCTACCTGCAGCAGTATGACAGTGCCACCAGGTAACTCCCAAATCCCCAACCCATTGAGAAGACATATATTATCCCCCTGTTGTGTCATATTTTTCTTTGCAGAGAAGCTGAGAAGAAAGTAAAATAGCTTTCAGAAACACAGAGTCCCACACCCTCACAACCTCTCTGAGTTACCCACCATGACCACAGACAACCTCAAACTCCTTTTGTGAAACAAGTCAATCAGAAACTGTCCCACACAATACTTACCCAGGGGACTCCTGTGCATACTGCTTAGCCAACTGTTAATACTGCACAGCAGCTCATTGGGAAGAAGGAGGTGAAGAGAATGAGCTGCTCAAACCAGCACTCCACTGTGTCAGCTGGGTGTGTGTACAGAGGTGGGCAGTGATAGCAGGGGTAAACCAGTCCTACTTGTAAGCCAGCCCAAGCCAAACCAACATCCCACCATGCGTTTACCACCTAAGCCACCGACTTCCCACTGCTTCTTCAAACTTCATAGGCTAGCGATTTCCTAGGATCTGGAATGAAGGCTCTGGAGAGCCAAAATCACTCTCTCCAGTCCTACTACAGAGCAGTTTGATCACAGAACAAAACTAGTACCTTGCATTGAGAAGTCACAGGCTTCAAGGTCCATTCCAGTGTACAAAGCCAGAAGAGAAGTCAGGTTCTTTGTTTTGGAGGTGGTCTCAGGTGAGGGCAGTATGAATTAGAAGGCCTCCCTTCACTTGATGAAGTCTCTTTTCCCTGAGGAGAGTTTCAAAAGGAAATGAATATTCCCTACTGAGCAGTACTGAAGCTCAGGTGAATCATGAGCACAAGCAGTGACGCCAGCCTCAAATGCTGCAGCCACCCACAGACCTGAGCCTTTGGTCACACACAACAGGCCAGCAAGGCAATGCATTTCATGCCCTGCTGAACACACTGCATCCCCATCTCCTTGTATGCCAAATGTGGCACCAGCAACTCAAAAGCCAAGGTACAAACCACCCAGGTTGACTACTCAGTGGGCCACACACTCCAACTTTCCCCAGAAAAAAATGCAGGTCAGTCAGTGGCAGAAGCAGCCTACAGTACTAGGCCACTTATAGCAAAGACCTTCCCCCTGTAGCCAGCTGAGCGTTCCTGCCCATGTGATCCTGTGCTGCCATCCCTCCTTTGGGGACAACCCAGCAGCACAGAACTCCTTGTCTACCCCCTCATCAGATCTCATGCCCAAAAATGTTACACATACAACCAGATGGGACAAAGGAGAATTATTATTTGCAGTTTAGTGAGGCCCACAGTAATTAAAAGACTTGTCAAAGCTCACTTGCCAAATCTGAGGCAGAACTGGGAACTACAGCTAAATCTCTCAAATTTAGGTCTAAGAGCTGGACTGCGAAAGTCCTGTGCTCCTTGGGTGCATACTGCTACCTTTGCAGCAAGTTTCACCCTTCTCCCTGCTCTCCCATGACAGTTAAGACAATTCTCTTCTACTACTGCGTTGAAGGAAATGAACAAATGCACAAATTACAATAAAAGAACTTTTACCTTACTTCCAAAATTATAAAATGTCTTAGCTCCAATCTTTGTCAGAAGCTCAGAAGCTTCAGGCTCTTCTATGAGGTGTGATTTGTAGACTGGAGGGTTCTGTTGTTGATGTTTTTTTTTAAATTTCCATCAGACAAAAATAAAAGAAGCAAAACAAAAGAGGGTTGTTGAGATCAACTTGTGATAGGTGTCGGGCCAAAGAAAATGAAGCCAAAGAAGTCAGAACCCTGCAACCAGCAACCTTTGTGTCAATTTAAGCAAATATTGTGGCGTTTCCATGGCAATCCCTGTTTTGAATACCCACTACACTCACTTTTTAAAGGGCTTTTCCTGTTTGTGTTTCAACTTCAAAACCTGTAAATATTTTCAGCCTTAACACATCCCGACCTCCCCCAGCCTCTGAAATGAGATACTATCAATGTTCTGTCATGAGGTCTGCTGTCTGCAGCACCCCAAAGCTGTGAAAATTCGTGGCAAAGGCAGGTTGGCAACCCAGGACAGCTGGGGACAGCAGAGGCTTGGCTGGCCCTTTGACACACTCTCGGTGCCAGCCTCCACAGCTGTAGGTACAGGAGCCTGTTCCATGCTTTTCCAAAACTGATGAGTGAAAAGAGCCATCGCAAACATTCAGCAGTGACAGCACCAGCCTAAGGCGAGCAGCAGGCAGCAAGTATTTTGCCAGTCTCCTTCCATCCCACTCTGCCAGCTCAGGCTGCCTCTCACTCGCCCCTCCAGCTGCAATTTCTGCTGGGAGGCTCTTCCTGTGACCCGCTCAGAGCCAGCTGCTCACACAGCCCCAGCGCTGCCCCCTGCCCTGACCTGGTTCTCCTCCCTTCCCTTCTACCTGAGCTGAACTAAGGCTGTCAGTCACACTGATTTATGGGATGCTGTGTCATGTGCAAGTGAGAATGAAGAGTCAACTTTGTCCTTGCAACCTGGGCTAGGGTGTAAATTGCCAGCAGCCTCTGCAGGTCCCTACTGCATTGCTCCATCCCTCCTCCACCAACACAGAGCCCATGGGGAAAAGTCCTGGGGAAGCCGCCCTAGTCAGGTGCTGGAATCACTTGTTACACCTGAGCATCAGGAGCCTGATGTTAAGCCTCTCCCCAAAGAATAAAGCTGCCACTGTATCTAATGCTGGGCTGGGGGGCAGGGGAGGAATTCAGCATGCATGGAGGTGCACAAAAACACCTTCTGCTGCACTTCAGAGACACATTAAGGACTCTCATCCCCAAGTCCCCAAGTCTGAAAGCTCCAGCCTGTCCTGCTGGAATACAGCCCTTCCTAGCAGCCCTGGGAGTGCACTGGTTAATTCTGAGTTTCCTGGCTACAGTGGATTTGTGCCAGGCCTCCAATGTTAGCTTAGTGTAATTTTTGGGAAGTCAATTTCCTTTGGTTTTTTTGTGGGGATTTTTTTTTTTTTTGGTGGGTTTTGATTTGTTTGTTTATTTTGTTGTTGGGGTAGCTTTTTTGTTTTTGTTTTTTGTTCAAGGTATTTTCCTCTTTTAGATTGAAAAGTAGGAGCATTTGAATGAGCATCAGGATAAGGCTATATATCCATGGACTGTAGCTTCCCCAGGAACATTTTATAGACACAATGGTACTTGCACAGAACAGCCACAGAAACAAATACCAAGTGATTTCAGAAGCTGTTATGCCGAATGCCCACAGAGGCAGCCTCCTGGGAGCGGTCCTGTCCTTTCACCATCACTCCTCGGTCTTGACCACCTTTCCTGCAATTCTGGGTGCTTCGGATACCACCAGCAGATGATGCACAATGCCTGCTGTCCTGGCCAGCTTCCAGCTCACGTAATTACATCCTACAGGAGTTTCAGCTGGATATTTTATCCCTTCTTCACTTCCGGCCCTGAGCTTCAATGGGAGTTGCTAGAACTCTATCCAGATCCACCCCGGACGTGAGTGCGTGGAGGGAATTCTGTGCATCCCAACAGGTCCCAAGAGCCCGGTGTTTCAGCAAACAACCTCTAAAAACATGTGACAGCATACCTTCTTGTGTACATCCCGTAACACCCCCACCTAAGAACAAGGTGCAGTGCTGGGAAAGCAATTGCAGTACCACACCAGGAACCAACAATTTCTGCACGCACGTGCTTAACACTGCCCAACAGAGCATGATCTGGGACATGGACACTGGCTCCTGAACTTTGCTGAAGCGGGAACTCTCCTCCCATCATCTCACAGTCTTGGAAAAGTTAAAACTTGTGGTGGCACTGGTGTGAGGCTGAAGCCAGAGCTGCTGGTCAGCCTTTGTCAGTGGCATTACATGCTGCAAGAGATACAAGTGAGGCCGAATGTACAGGAAAAGACACGACAGGTTTAAAGCACCCATGAGAATGCTCCTAAGGTCTGGTCCATGACAGGCCAGGTCAACAGATGTCAGTGTCTCTGACTCCTCTCATCACACTGCCACTGAAACACCATGAGCAGGAAACACTGGCTGGGTGACACTCACCAGTCCTTGATAACACGTGCTCCAAAGTTCAGGTAAAGAGGCGCGTCCACCTCCCTCCGGAGGGAGCAGTGCTTTGGCACTCGCCATGCATTCTCCATGGCCACAAGAATTCAGAGCCCTTCCAAGCTGTCCAGGACATTTGGAAACTGCTCTCCCACCCTCCACTCAGGGCAGCCTAAGAGTCCCCAGACTTGTAAGTGGGCTCTACCAAACCTCTGTTTCGTGCCCGCTTTGTCTAATTCTTTCAGCCGATTCTGCACCAGATGCTCACCTGGTGTAAAATCAGTGCAGTTTCGGTGGCTTTAGTGAAGTCATGCCAATTTAAATGAGTTGAGGATCCGGCCCTCCAAGTTGCTCGAATTGCCAGTTCTTCCTTTGGATAATCCTGAGGGTGATTTCACAGCAAGCAGCAGCACAGGCCCAGCCAGCCTGGCAGGATCAGCTGTGCTTTCCTACCTCTCCTCCACCCTGCCTGCCCCAAGTCAGGCAGTCCCTGCTGTGCGACCCTGATGCAGCAATGTTGGACCCATCATCATCTGCTTTGTGTCCTGAGTTTCCTTCTCTCTGTTGCTTAATGAGAGATAAATACAGCACAGAGTAAATTACTCTGGGCTTTGGATCAAGGTTTTCTACTTTCTTTTTGCAGGAGAGTTCTTGTCTTTATAGGGCACTGTGTTATACCTTGCCAAGTATTTGGAAAGGGTGCTGATCGTTTGTCCAGCAGCAAACCCCAACCAGTTCAGGTTGACTGTGACACAGAACGTCTTTATGAAGAAACTAGATACTGACTTCCCCTCTCTCTACTCTCACCAGTCTCTGCTCCAAGAAACATAAAGAGCCCTGCCTGGCTGACTGAGTGAGCAGCTCGGAATCCCTTCCTCGTGCCCAGTTCCATTGTTGTCCTGCCATCCTCACCACGTCTCTGTGTGAGGGAAGCAGGCAATACAGGCACAGGGAACGTGGCAAGGCTTCAGCAGCCACTGGATGCGCAAGAACTTTACATGCTTTGCCCTCACAAGTCCTTTGCTATCCCCCCAGAGCAATTTTCTAGGCAGTAGCGTGGTTGCATTCCCTTCTCTATCTCCTAATAAATATCATGCTAAGCAAGATGAGTATCTTCTTCCCAGACCAAGCAGCATGACCCACTTTTTGAATCAGGGCAGATGCAATTGCAATTGGGCCCTGGAGTCCTGGACCCCTCCCAAAGCGCAGAGATTTTGTAACAATTACAGCAAGAAGCAGAAGGAATAGCAAAGTAATATGTGATCAAAGAGTGCAGCGGTGGAGTTGAAGCTGTGGGGTAAGTACTGCTCCTTGCCACCCTGTGCTCTGGCATTTTCCTAGGACACTGAGGCACTTCCTAGGACACAAGAGCTGTGTGCTCATTCACACAACATCTCTCCTCCACTGCCCTACATTACTCAAAAGTAACAGGTCCAATTTCAAATTCTGGCTAATGGCTCAGGCAATCTAACTGTTGCCCTCCCTGCACATCCACCCTGATTCTTCCCCTTCTTTTTTCCTCTCCTCACAGCAGAGCAGGAATACAGGATTCACATTCCAGCAGTGCAAATCCCCCCTTGCACAGAAATGCACATACAAATATCCTGCCCTGCCCCAGTGACAGCCTTGAGGCTTTTAACAAAGCAGCTGTGCCCAGTGTCCCAGCACTGACACCTGGCTTGTGTGACAACTTCACAGTGGTCCATGAGCTTTCAGGGGTGTCACCACCTCTGCCTCC